CAACATTCATTCTCAAGGCTTATATTTGATTAAATCCAGCATACTAGATATCAGTCGTATGACCCAAAAAGCAGTATGCAGAGATTATCCTAGAATTTTTTACCTATGAGAGAAAAGCAACCCTGGTCCAAAAGCAATGAGATTTTTTGGCGTGTGATGAGATTTTGCTAATTTTCAGAGATATTTTGTTTTCACTCAGGGGAAACCGTATCTAATTTTCGATACTTGTGACTCGAATAATGTTGCAAATAATGTTATAAGATTATATATGAATATATCCTCGGATATCCTATTTTTGAAAATAAATTATTCAACTGCGCATATTTAAAAATATTAGTATTTACGAAACATTACATTAGTACTTATACTTCTGTTGTTTGTCTACTTTAAGGGGAATTATTTGTGAGGACAATTATAGATCGTTTAGGAGGCATGTTTACCACCATCAGCTGTTCATTTCGTTGGCATGCAGGAGACAACAATCTGCAGTTATTAAATTTTGACAATGTGTGTTTAGATCACAGGAACTCGTTATTTGTCAGTAAATAAAAATATATACCACCTACTTACATAAATAGGGTATATATTTTTATCTACTGTCCAATAACGAGTTCCTGTGGTCTAGATCATAACTTCATATATTCAAAATGATGAAATGAAATAGCGACAGTTTGTTGGTAAAAAATACATTACTTACATTCCAGTGCTTTCGTCAATTTCGCCGTCTTATTTCTGCTGTCTTGTGTCTCTGACCGTATCAAATTAAATCTTTTCAATGTGGACTTTTCAATTAATTAGAAGTGACAGTTCAGTATACGACGACTATTGCTCCAGGTTCGCCCTTTTGTTTAATTAGCAACAATTAAGTCCTTTATTTCCCGCAGAAGGCAGCCTGTTTGCCAAATGCAGCAGCCAGAAATGTCACCGGAAGTTGAAAAGACTGTTGACATTCACAATGTTTATGAATTACTTTTGAAAGATTAAGTCACAGTTTTCAAGTTTTATGGACAACTCTGGAAGTAAACGTATTGTAGTATATTCTAAAAAATCTAAATCCAACTTGCTGTTTGGCCACTAGAAATAGTTCAAAATTTGTAATTCACGCTCAGTGACCATGTTTGCACGAGGGTATGTTCATGAAAACTTGAGTGCCATCTTATCTAAAGACTAGGTGAATCTCATCTGAAATACGATCGTTTGTATATCATTATGGAGAAAGAGCTGTAGGTATATTCATTTAGTTTTTGTTTTGTGGTAATTCCAAAATCGAAATTTGCTTGTGTTTTAAAACTTTACCCTTGATTGCCTTACCTGTACGTCTTTAATTTCGGCTAGGTTTTAAGTTTTTTTAAATAATTTTAATGACTTGGTGTTGTAGATCATGGAATAGGATTTTCAGGTGCTACCAAAGTGTATTTATTATAAAAACAAACACTCATTTTGCCAATCAGGGAGAAAAAAATGTTGCGCGCTCCACCATTGTCAGCTGATGCAAAGCTCCATGCACATGATGCAGTGATATAGGAATCGGTTCTGCACTGTAAGACAGAGCTCCAGATAAGCTGCGTATCTGCGTGAAATACGCATCAGAAATGCAGAAATACGCAGTAAAATATAATCCAAGCGTATCAAATACGCAACGAACATTACAGATACGCTACAAAAATAAAATTTGTGCGTATCATCAAAATATTGTGAAGTAACCCTGTGTATTCGATTAGCAAATCAGCAACTTATTTTGAAATTATAAACGGGCATTCCGTCAACCTTGCCAAACTCCACGATGACAGTTACATCATGATCATTTGTCATCACACTTTCGTGTGGAAGTATCGTGGTATTTTTGAGTCCTATAAAGCTCTCAAACCCACACGACACCAGTTTGCAGGGACTAGACGAATAGTGTTTTTAAATATTTAACTTAAATACCCACATGTGTAAAAACTAGTGGGTAACAGAAATTTGAATATGCAGATAGAATTACTGATACCCAATGATTTTAAAATGCATGGGTAAAATACCCACAACACCAAAAGCTTATCTGGAGCTCTGGTAAGAGATAGCATGCAGTGTTGCGATTATGCAAATCGCTGATAGACAACTTTTGACAACTGAATAAACTACTGTGTAAGTTTTTTCTTGACATTTTTAGGTACGGTAGATAAAATTCTTCAATACAACATTTCCGATTTTGGTAGGTGAAAATGAGAGTGTCAATGTAGTTAAAACTATTGAAAGATGTATGTGATTTTCAAGCGCGCTCATTGAATGTTGATGCAATATCTACGACAACTGTGGGAGAATATCACAGAATCATGGCCTAAGCCAATCCCTATATGACATCACACATTTTCAGACAAGATTTATTTTCCACCCAACAAAAAAATAAATTAAGTCTGTCATGAATTCTTCAGGGTCTTTGGCACACAAATCACAAATGTCACTTAAACATCTTTGGGACATATTTTTGTGTGTTTCAATAGTGTGATTAAGAAGTATATGTCAATTTGTACAAATTCTTTTCAAGCTAATTTGGTGATTTTCAAGGCTTTTCAAAGTTCACACTAAAAAATCAAGGATTTTCAAGCCTGTGAAACCTTGGGCATTAGATAATGGATTGAAAATCAAATATTGCATCCCACCTGTATTGACAGCATAAACTGGTATGTCAAATTGGAGATATGTATCATCATACAGAAAGTCAATATTTCATGGCGGAGATTCTCAACTATACCTATCATGATTATCAATTTATCTCAAAACTCAATTACTGCAATGTGTGTCATTATCAATACACTGAATCAGTTGTTATACGTCATTGAAGGTTACTGGTTTACACATGTATTAAAATAACTGGCAAAAAAGACGTTGGTTTTACTCTAAAGATAAGTAATATTTTTATCAAACCACTAAAAAATGTCATACTTTGCATTTTGCTCGATACTGCTATGATGACATGACTCTCAATGCATTCATAATAGACATCTTATATACAGGAAACGGCTGCAAACATAATTTCTTTTTTCCAACAGGAAGATGTTATACATGATTTTAAAAAAATGCAATAAGGCGAGACCAATTTCATTGCTAGGATTACGGATCCGCCGACACCATTTTTCGCCAAATCGGAAAATAATAATGAAATTCTATCATTTAAAAAAAAATATTCTACCCGACATCGATCGATAAGCCTTGTTGTGAATACATGTTAGGGGAAGTAACTCTAGTTTTAAACTAAAATTCCTTACGCAAATGTGTCTGCAAATTCCATTGGTCGTTCCACGCAAACATAGCCAATCAATGCGTACTCTCAATTACAAGTGTTTCCAGCATGCGCACAGCGTGTATTGATTATGCAGGGACCATGTGTAGGACATGGGGTGTCAGTTTGGGTGTTTTAATCTGGTGTCTTTCGACAATGTCAGCAAAGTATTTCAGCGTAAGCGTTCTGAAGGGTAGTGTGTGCTTATCAAAGCGAATCATGGATAGTCCACTGGATGACACAGTTGGTGATTTGGCGACGAAAAGCCGTATCGTCAATCGCCGATGGAGATGGACTTCAAGAGGTGCATGCAACAGAATCTAAGGCTGGTTCCTACGGGAATATTGTCGAACTTACAACACCTATGCAAGTTTTAGCAGACTTTGGACTAAATTATGTGACAGTGGTGGCAAAATTGAGAATAAAGAAGGGCTATTTAATTTAAGTGCATTCCACATGTTAGCATAACACTTCAGCAATGAGTGTTACATGATCATTTAACACGATAAAGTTATACTGGACAGAGTATTTCAAGTACTTGTATGTGCCAAATGTATATTTGTTTTGAAGCCAAGTGCTGTTTAAATTTCAGTGTATTTCACATTGTTTTTATATTTTTAAAATACAATAAAACTTTAATAAGTTAAAAGCTTGTTGTCGAAGCCTACCTGCTTGTGGGAAACTACCAAAAGATACCTGTAAACCCTGGTCATCAGTAAGGAGTGTCATTAGATAAAGGGACTATAGTGCATTGCTTGCAACATGCGTGGTGGGTAATACTGAAATACTTTTGTAGCTTCTGTGGCAAAATGAGGGATTTTAAAAAAAATAAATTATTTCCTCCTATCAGCATTCCTGCCTCTTAAAATCTGTAATACCTGCGAAAAAATTTTCTCTCAAGTACTTTTTTTTTTTTTTACATTCCCTCCTCCATTCAGCCACTTTACCCGAAAAAATCTGTAATCCTAGCAATTAAATTGGTCTGGCCTAAACTGGTATTTTTCAAATGTATTGTGGTATGTTAACAGGGGTTGATTTAACCACAAGTTTGCTCTTTTGAAAAGTTACTGGCCCTTCTCCAAACCAACTGGCCCCAAACTAAATGTTGGGAGGCTATGACAGAGTTACCCATGGGGCTCTGAAATCTTTACAACTCTTCACCCCTAAAACAATATTTCCTGCACTCTTGAGATTAAATCTTGGCTTCCATTTGCCTCATGGTGATATAATGGGCAAAAAAGGACCTTCTTCTTGTACAGAACATTACAAAATGGCCACCAGTTGTGTCATTCTACCTATATTATCTTTTAGTTAACTATTCACACGATCTCATCACCCCTAAATATTTTCTCATCAAAATTACATGATTCATGAGCAGTGTTCAATTAAAGAAAATGAAACATACAGGGGTGAAAGTTGTGAAATTTTGACAAGTCAGACAGGCAGGCCATTAACTTTGTTTCAGCAAGCTTATCGTAATTTTGACTGCCCATGGGCCAGCTGTTAAATCGACCCCTGATTGGTATTTCATATTGTGGTATACAGGTATACATACCATCACTACCTTGCACCTCTAACAAGCAGTCCTGTCAAAACTCTTTGTCTGAATTTACGAGATCACCCTCTACAAAACTGTATATTTTGGGTAAAAACTGTGCATTATACACAAGAAAGTATAGTAAAGATAACTTGTCATGATGCGATCAATATATACACAACAAAAACATGTAGTTCCTACCTTCTTCCATCTCTTCTTCTTGGTTCGTGGCCCCCATTTCCTGCACGTCGCCATTGACCACCCCACCATTGCTGTCTGTCCCACCATGCTGACTGTCGTCTGAAAACATAAACATAAGTCAAATATAAGACAAATAATATGTCACAACAATCTGACAAAATCTCTACTGATACAAGGGTAACTCTCAGCCTCATGTGTGCTTGCTGTGTGACTGCAGGCTGTAAATAATCAAGTCTGGACCAGACAATCCAGTGATTCATATTTGGAACAATGATCCACGTTGTCGGAATAGGATGATAAGCTATGAACCAAGTCACTGAGTCTGACTACCTTGTCCATTTGGTCGCCTCTCATGACCAGCATAGGTTGCTGAGTACCTATTCTAACATGGAATCTCTACAGGGTCATTCGTATGTAGTCTTAGTCGAACAAGGTTTTCTCAGCCACTGGTGGGTAGTCTGAGATCTCTGAACATTCAGGAATGTCAGGAAAGACATAGTCAGAGCTACAGATAAGCAGCATATTTGCATGAAATATGGATACAACACCACTTTGAGAGGTATTTCAATTATACCAAGGCATGTAAGTTAATGTCTGAGGAAAGTGTGAAGAGGCAGGTCTGAGACATTCACAACTTTGGTGAAAACCATCAGCACGGTTATTATACTGTCAAACCATCCGAGGAACATAATCAGAGCAAATCTGGAATTCAAACCCATTATCATAGGATCCTGGCATGCCTAAGGGATGTAACTCTGCACAGAGAATTGTGGCATCTTAGACAAGAAAGGTCACATGTGCTATCCAATCAGGTATTAAGAAAATATTGTGACGGAACTAATAATAAACCTGTAGTATGCAAGCATGGACAGGCAAAGTTGGATTCAAATGAAAGCCTCCTGAAATAGGCCTGATCGTGTTGGGACTATTAAAGTGTACTTAGCATGGTTAAGTTGTACATGAACCTTCAACAACAATACATTGTAGCAGGCAACACATTTTTGTCTGTGTTAGGTGTATCAATGCTTTTAAACATTTTTTTACCTGTACTTGTACTCATAATCTGTTGAGTACAGCTTTTAATTTGGCATGTCATGCCAAATTAGTAAGTTTAAAATATGAACAATATATAATGCAGTTTTTCTAATATCTCTGACATACACTTGTAATGGGAAAAATTTGCAAGTTTGAAAAATAGCACCTCATTGGGTTCATAAGGACATTGTTGGTTTGTTGCTTAACACTGCATTCTGCAATATTCCAGCTATATGACAGCGGTCTGTAAATAATCGAGTCCTAACCAGACAATCGTGAGCATCAATCCACGCAATTGGGGCACGATGATATTAGCGATTCACACAATGTTTCGATATGGCTTTTCTCTCAAATGCCATGTTATGAACTGCAGCAACAACATCCCATTTCATACACAATTAAGTCTCAACAACATGAGATTGGCATGTTTCTCAAAGGTACTCATTCTAGAAATTAGAATGTGGCTTTGTCATAGAATCATATTTCAGAGGATTTATCAAAAGTTGACATGTCATAGCATTTGTTTCTGAAATATGCTGCAACCATGTGTAGTGGCAAAGCCAGGTTCGTTGAAAAGCTCTCAACCTGTCCTGGTCTTCACTTTCCTGTCACTGTCAGGTGCAACATGTGAAACATTCTGTTAATTGCTAAAACGTAACTTGTGGTCAGTGATTCTGCATCAGTAACCTGTGTTTCGTGGTCATTCGAAGCAGAAACATTGTTGTCATTATCAGAAGACGACTTCGGCAGTTTTGACGATGAATAGAAATCTAAAACTGATCTATCACAGAACCTCTTCCAGCCATCTGCTCTCGGAATGTCCTGTTCGGTTATGGTTTTTTAGTTGCATAAAAAAACAATGAAAATCGTTCATATGACTGCTATTAGGTCTGTGTATGGGCACAAAAAAAAAATCAAAATGCTTCCCTTCAAAATTGATTGACAAAACGTTTTCAAAACTAAGGGGGAAACACTGAGAGATGATATAAAACGTCACACTATGCATGGGGTATTGTTAGGCTCCTTAGCGATACACACAATGTTTCGTAAGGCTTTTCTCTCAAACGTCATATTATGAACTGCAGCAACAATATGTTGTATTGTTTGATAAAGTGTATAATGGTATACAGGTAGTATTACTATTAGCAGTCCTAACATCTAAAGTTGCAAAAATGTGTAACCTAGATTCTGATTGGACCATCTTGGACTTTCAGCCAATCAAAAGTGTCGATATTTAAGTAAGACGCACCATAAAAAGGAAATTTACATTTAAAAAATCCAAACAGCTCTGCAAGTGATCATGGTGATGCAAAATATGTTTGAAACGGACCTGATGACCAACTGATAGTAAGTTTTATGTGTCAATCAATATATCATTGCTGGAATGCCACAAGCCTGCTGTCTCAACAGAACACTGCACAGCATAGAACTATTGGAAGTAAAGAGGAACAAGAAGTCATCCATATGCCCATATCCTTACGATTGTAAATTTAATAGTTTTGATTTCAGTAAAAATGAAGGGCATGACCAAACCATGCTATCCATGTGCAAAGCTTCATTGAGAAATAATAACCTGACCCTAATTTGAATTAGTTGCCTTATAAATGCAAAAGATAACAATTCCAGAGCACTAAAAAGGCACCAATTCAACACTTGCTGTGTATGTAAACAAATTTTTACAATGACATTTGAAACGGTTCATAAAATATGCTCTTGAAACAAACCCTACCTTCATTTGAGGAAATGAAAAAAATAAATTTTTTATGGTGCTTTTCAAACTTGACGACATATTTGATCACTAAATGATATATTAATAAAAATGTCATCTACAGTGGTTTCTGAGAAATTGGAAATACTCTGTGCCATTGTGCCATGTTCAAAAGACGAAATAAACGCCATAACTCGTTGATGGTTCTCAAACTCAAGATATTTATCCCATAATACAGTGCTTGTAAAAATTTGTCAGTGGTCCAATGGACTAGCTCCGAGAAATATTTTCTGGTCCTGTTGGATCTCTAATAGACACAATGGTGCTGACCCAGAAGGATTTTACATGGTATTACTCATTCTTATACTAAAACCTCAATGTTTACACAATGGCAGTAATATAAGACAAGTTAATGCTGGTTAACTTCAGAGGTTTAATTGTTTGCCACAGGTCAAGTCTTCACCTTCCCCAGATAAAGCAATACCTCAGACTGACTAGCTCCTTCCTGTGTTCCCAGATACTTTATCATGATCATACAAGTGAGCGTGCGTCATTAGAATGAGACACCAATCAAGAAGGTTACCACTATACCACGCAGGGTTGTTTAGGCTGCTGGTTTTGCTTGGAGTTTAGAGTCAATCTGTGGCTGATTTTAAGTCTTACTAACTTAAGTTACTTTGTTCATCCCCAAATAACAATAGACCAACAGACCACTATTTATATACTCTAACTGGCCCTTAAGAAAATACATTAGATTTGGATCAGTGGACCAGTGACAGTGTCAAACACTGACAATGATGTATCCTGTATGCAAAATGTCATTTTTGTATATATAGCGGTTTCATGGTAAATCTGGACGTGGGGGTACAGTGTACCATGTCACAATATCACGATCACATTATGCAAGAGCCATAACTCTTTCAAATAGAAATTTGCTATAATGGGTTTGGAACTCGATCAACATATGTATTCCATAATGATCTATGCAAAATGTCATCCTTGTATCCACGGCTGTTTCACAAACACTTATCCCCATTGACGTTGGACAGAGCCCAAACTGCTATCCCCCTCTCCACTTCATGTGGGGGATAAAAACAGGACTAGTCGAATAAGTGAGTGAACATTGAAATGTAAACAATAAGCCTGCATCACACAAATCTGTGACAGAAATCATGAGCAATGATCCACACCATCGGGGTATGATGATAGACAATCAGCTAAATAACAGCGTCTTCATAAGCTCCTACAAGACTAGTTGACATGGGATCTACCAACCTATTGGAATCAAATAACAAGAAGACATAAAATTATCTTCATCTTTATAAGAAGCATCATACTCTCCATATGTCCTAATGCCAGTGTGTTCTGGCTTAATCTTGCAGATCTGCTTTAGTTTCTTTAGATACAAGGTAGGACATGTCGGTACTTAATATGATAGGACCACCACACGGACTTTCTTTTTGTCAAGACTTGCAACATAGGGAACTAAAGTTGTTTTTAGCTTTCTAGAAACGACAGCATGATTTCTTTTGAATGCTAAATCATTCTTAATGAGGAGATAAACACTATTTTCAAATTTGTACATGTTTTCCAGGTGGAAAGAGAAGTAACATATATCAAAATTCAAACTAATCCAATGTATAATTGACTAGTGAACAAAACAATTTTCTTAACTCCTGTGATCCTTCAGCATGTTCAGATTACCATGACAATATGTACGTCAGTGATTGGTCCTCCAGCACATTGCATCCAATCGTCCCACAGGTCTCTAATGATGTGTCAGTATGTAATGGGACCATGCGTTATAACTTGACAGATCTTTTTGACAGCTTCCATTTGCTTTCAGTGGGTAAAAGTAATAGAATCAAACAACATTGATTGTTCTTGGGACGCTGACTGAATTAGACACCCTTGGGTTTCATGGGGAAAAGCAACTCATGTACTGCAAGTCAGAAAATGTCCTTTTGAGTGTAAAGCAGAAGCAGTGGCAATCAGTGAATAACTCACGACAATGTTTAATATTAATTTAAAAGCATTGAAGTCATTTAAGAAAAGATACATTTGAGATGCTAACTTCGGAAATTAGAAATATCTAGGACAATTGAGGTTTGACAAACCAAATATCCAATATCTTCTTGCTTGCAAACAAAAATATGCCCCAAGAGAATAACAACACAGTGTGTTATTACCCAATGTAGCTTTTTCATCTTGCATACCTGTATTTCTTTACAGATCTTTGTTTACTGGTCATATGCAGGCATCACATATAAACATGAACTCTGTTACAGCGAATCATGGGGAATAACACCCATAAAAACATTATGTATTGCTTATTATAACTGAAAACATGCATATCGCTGGTGAGAACTTATGCGACATGCGGCAGCTCATGATAATTACAAAAAAAACAAATTAGAATTAACATGGAACATTTCAAGCAGATTACATTTGAAAAAAACAACAATCTATGATATGAAACAAGTGGTATAAACAGTCTACATTTGTCTTTGTCTCTGTTTACACACATGCAATCTACAGTTATTTAGAATTTCAAAAACTATTAAATATGGTAGCACAATATTGTCTCTAGGGTCTCATTTGTATCACCAATTACAAAATGCAGTATATTTTCAGCCAATGACTAAACAAAACAGACTGGAAAAGGTTTGTTTGGTCCAGATATACAAAATTAAAACATTGTTCTTGTGCCTGAAGTGATTGTAAATTTACATTATTTGCTACTCCTCACACTTCCTCGTGCATTTCTCTTGACGGCTCGAAGACCTGAAGCTTTATGGACGATAACTTTTCTCGTTTCTCAATAAAATGCTACTTCTTGCATTAAGACTTCAATAAAGTATATAGGTTTAATTCAGTGTTTGACACACCTTACCGATGCAAGGGTGTTAACTGACTTTAAAATTAAGTCCAGTTTCAACCCTTGCCGAACTAGGCTGGAGTTACATTTTGGCTGGACTAACGAGTCTATACACAGTCCAATCAAAATTGTGTAACGACCTAGACATCCGGTTTGTAATCACCAGGGATTTCAACGTGCAGATTTCGGCTGACTGCAGGATTTGCAAAGCATGTGTACCGCCAAATGTGTGTCAACAGATATTTTTCAAGGTGCTCAAGTGATTTGATGTGCTTCGCGGGGTAAGACCCTTTTTTATCATAATATGAATCTTGATTATTGATCAGATCGTCTTGACTGGCTGCCGCCATTTTGTTTGGAGCAAATGCAAGTGATATGCGAGATGGAATCTGATTGGTCAATAGAAGGGACTTAGAATTGACAACTCGTAATAGCCACTGGTGACGCTACCACCCAGTCTTCAAAATTCCAGCCCAGTTCGGAAAGGATGGAAACTGGACTTTTATAGTCAGTTAATGCCCTTGCATTGTGAAGATGTGTTTTGCACTGTCCAAAATTTGTGAGTGGTCCACAAGACCAGCACATAGAAAAACCTACTGCTCCTGTTGGATCTATACTAGACACAATGGTGCTGACCAAAAAATATTCTGTCATGTTCATGCAAGCGAGCGTGTGTAACTAGAATGAGAAAACAGTCAAGAAGGTAACCACCATACTATGCAGGGTGTTTAGGTCACTGGTTCAGCTTACAGTTAATTCAATCTTATCACTGATTTCAATTGTGCCGTACAAACTTAGATTACTGTGTTCATCCCCGAAATAACACTACAACCACTGAACCAGCAGTAATTAATTTTTACTGGTCCTTAAGGAAATATACTAGACTCAGACCAGCTGACGAGTGTGAGTGTCGAATATTGAAATAGGTAAACATAAAAATGTGTGCAATGAGTCCAAAATACAAACAGGTGTGCATTTTTGACACTCACTTGGGAACTGGTGTTAATTCAAGAGTAAATATAGGTTATTTCTTAACAACTACATTTTTTTATCTGAATTGTTATGAATATATTTAGGCACACAGAAATCAAAGACTTGGGTTACACACTGCCACAAGTCTATAAGTCCCAAGACTAGTGAACAAGTGAAAATACAGCTGGGCAAGTTGTTTTCTCACAAAATCTAGATATTTTACATAAACCACTAGTCCAAAATGAGCAATCAAGTAGTTGATCATGTGAAAATGTGTTTATCTCTGTGTGCTGATAAAATTGAGTTGATTTTGGTCATACAAGTGGGAATGAAAACAGTGGAAATTTTACCAATGTACCAGCTACTGTCATGGCCTAAACAGCATGTGTCAGGTGCAGCCTCTTCATGTCTCTGGCATCACATTTACCGTATACAACGTTATAAGCGCCCCACTCTAATAAGCAACCACGGCGACATTTGCTAGATATTGGCTGGTGAAAAATCCCAAATAGCACGCTTTCCGACTGACCAATGTACACAAGACTTATTTATTCCTGTATAATACGCACCCGTGTGTTATATGCACCATGGATTATGGGCAATTAAATTCAGAAAAAATATATCTGTCGTACATAAAAATTTAGGCTGTCAGCATAAACCACAAAATATATCTTTCGACTCTCTTTTTTTCCACCAAAATAATATTCTAATAAGAGCCCCCTATTTCTTATTTTGAGAGCGCTCTGGGCGCTAATTACTTCAAATACGGTATTTTTAATTTATCTTATTTACTAAGAATCCTCTTTATTGGTCCTGTGACCAGTGAAATACAAGTTATCTCTACAATGCCATGGATATTAACTTGAATTGGAAGGTTATGAGTACACATTTGGGAATTTTTACTGCTTTTTGCTGCAGTCTTGTGTCCGAATATCGGCCTCCAAGCAGCCCTAGATAAACCTGTGTTAGCAAAAATTAACTCCATATCAAGAAAAAATTCATTCTGGAATAACAACATAATAGTGTTATGAATCATAACCTAGGCCTTGAATCTACAACTGGGACAACTGTTACAATTTATGCTCAATTGTTTATCACACGACAGCTTTATTGCTCTTGTCAAGTAGTGGTAGACCATAAATATTAAGAATATTAGCAATATTTGTATATGTCAGCAATTCTGTGGGATTTTATTTCAAAACATCACTTATGTTTCTCACTGTAAACAAAAACAGACAGTTCATGTGTCACTTTTCATTCTGGTTGCTAATTTATGCAGTTGTTGTGGGGCAGTTGCTCACTGAACCACAATATCCTACTCAGGAAAGAATCTACTTGTCTTCTCTAATGATAGTAATATTCAAAACCAATCAACAACAATTAATATAAATAAACATGTGACAATTCACTTGTAAAACCGGTCGGCATCATTTGCCGCCAGGAAAATGCATGTTGGAGTAAACATTTGGCTTCATGGGTCACGTTGTCAGCTCATGTTTCAGACATAGTCTGCCACTCGCGTTTACAGTAACATCTTTTACATATATAAAATAACCATTATCAAAAACCGACCCTCCTTTTGGTCTGTGTCCATTTCCTCATGATCGACTTGATTCTCCTCCTTGTCATTTACATGGTTCATTGTGCTGTTGTTCATATCATTAGGAGAAGTGACCGTACGTTGGCGATCTCGCCCTGTGATCGGAGGACTTCTTTGTGAGACGGTCACTTTCACGTGTTTGCTTGCGATTCGCCCAATGTCTGCAGATTTTACCCCTTCGGCGGGGAAAACTGCTATACTCCAAAAACAGTGAAAATTTTGATTAAAATCCACAGTGATGCACCCGGCTCCTAACAAAAATAAACAAGATGGCCGCCTCGTGCGGGAAGTCTGGGATCGCAGATATTTAAACGACTTGGAGCAAAATTAACTTACCGTCGGCTGGTGTTACTTTTGCAGTCATGATACAGAACAACCTCTAAACCAGCCTTAATATGCACTGTTAAGACTTATTCAAGGGCCAAGGAAGAGATTTTTGGTTCCGTGCTACTTCGGCTATTTTCGTCAAATTTGCAGTGTCACTGCGCGTGCGCGGAAATTAGTTCCGGTGTTACGAGAAGGCTGATTGTCTAGGCGGACTCGACATTTCAATCAAGTTTTGTTGAGCTTTATTTTGTCGTATTCATATTTCCATGACAAAGATCAGGTTAGGGACTTAGTTAAGTTTATAATGAATCCAGAGGAACACCAGGATTCGGAACAACCAGCCGAAAATTGGCTAAGTAACTTTGAGGACCAGTGTCTGGACGATCTTGAATCGGAACCAAACATGGAGGATAGGCTACAGGCTGAGAAAGAATACGCAGTTAAAAAATTATGGTTGACATTTCAAAATTCTGCTACTGCTATTGCTCAACTGTATAAAGGTAATTATGAAGACATATGACCCAAAAAATGAAACTCGATTCATGTCAGTTCTCCAAAAAGACCAAATAATGGGAGCTGGCCTGAAATCTCCTTATCATATTGGGTTGATTAATTTGTGCTCTTTGCAAGGCTCTAGTTGTTGGTCTCTCTAAACGTGCAGCAGTGGGTGTTCAGTGTATGATGTGGTAAAGTTTATTCCTATTAATGTACTTGTAACATGTATTAATTTTATTGTGATCTTTTTCTTGAACCAACCGGTGAACTTGAGGGATGGGCTAAATATTAACATGATTAAACATGTGTTTTGAACAAATCAGAAATAAACAAGATTTCATTAAGCATGTTAAGTTGGTGATGAGTGTTGGAGAATTAATCAACATACTTTCACAACTTTATGCATGACTAACTTGTGCCTGAATTGTTAAAACTATAACATGTCACTGGATTAAAGTGTGATACCATGCAATCTGCATGGTCTGTTAGAAAGTTGAGCTTGGGGTTTATGCCATTGCAATTGGTATTGTATTTATAATATATGCGATGTATGGACCTAAAAAATGTTGAACTTAAGATCCGCAAAGTACAATTCAATTCAGATTTTTAGGTAACTCACATATATAATTCTACCAGTTATGTCATTTGCCCCTCAGTTGGTTAACATTATTAATACTTTTGAACTGTGGTTGCAAGGCACATAGTCCATCGTTGCTAATACTTAATAGTCAATGGATTTTAAACAAATGGACATAAGTTGTTAAAACCACTAATAAACTTGACTTGACAGAATATTGAACACAATCAATACCAAATGGGACGTTAGACATGTTTATAGCTGGAGAGCTTGAAATGTGGATCAATTGACTCTTAGTATTAGGATAAACTACCAAACCAGTGCAAAAAATGCTATATTTTAGCACATACCGATAGTCATTGATTTAAAAATACCCATGAGAGTAAAAATATATATTGATAATTTAACAAAATTGAAATACCCATTGAGATCGATTACATAGTAAATACTCAATGGATCAAAAAGTTATCTGAAACAGTGAGTGAAACATGACAGTTCTGCTTTTTTATGTGACAAATATAACAAAGTGTAATGCACAGCAGGGATAAAAGACAGTCTGTACTATGTGAATTAAGTGAAAAGTTGTTTTAGAGTAAACTGTACAACACACTTTTGCCATTGGTCATTTTATGCCCGGGAATTTTTACATTTGAAACCTAGGGCTGACATTGTTGGTTCCAAATGAAATTTCAGGGAATTGAATGGTTGATAACAGATATTGTTTTCCTTCTAATTGTACTATTGTAGGCCACCAAGCCTTTTGAAGACCACAGTATGAAATCTCACTCACTAGATCATATTAATAGAAATAACTGTTTTGGGGCCGTCAATACCAATTGTATGTTTTATTGTATATGTATACCAACAAAATAAAATTGAATTGTTTGTGATTCAGTTCCATAGAAATATTGTAATGATATCATTATCACAATGACTTTTGATTTGGGTTCAAATAGAATTTCTGTTGCCATGCTATCAGTTTCATAGATTGTTATCTTTATCAGGGTAGGAACTATTCTCAAAATCTTCAGTAGCCCGAGTCAAGATAAAATATCCTTGTAATGTTAAAACAATGGGGAAATTTGTACTAGCCTGCAGAAATGGGCTTGTGTTAAATTCTAACCCAGTTTATTCTTTTAAATTTCTTTGTTTCAGATCGTCAACAAGGGCTTTCAATGTGGGTACCATTTCAGAATGCTGCAATATCTGTAACTAGTTTATATAAAGGTAAGTTCAACACTTTTGTCCTGTGGTGCTAGGTGTAGTCAATGAATTGATGAATGGTTCAAAGAAGAGCTCCAGGGTACCTTCCAGACTATTTAATCGTGCTGATGACAACTAAAAAAACTAATGTTCTATCAATATGAACCAGTTCTCAATGCTTCAATATTGCTACAAATTGGGACTGAATAAAACCGACACAAAATGTTTACATTTTGTCTCTTTTGAGCAGGACTAGCTGCAAACTCAAAGGACCAGGGAAATAAGGTTTACACAAGTCTGAAAATAAACAACCAATTTCTAAGAATGGTATCATTTGAAAATGAGTTGGTGCTTATGTGTGATCTTCTTGATTCCCAAGAACAAAGGTCATTGTTCATGCTCTCAACCACAGGTTTGCTTGTCCAGGATGGACTATTTAGTAATTTTACAGACAGTCATATGACAAGAGTTTTGCTGACTCAGGCACAAAACAGCAGATTCACTCACTTAGAACCTTCAATTTTTTCTGCTTATTTTCTCTTTATTCCTAATCCTAACATATTCTGACTACACATCATTATCATTTTGGTTGTTTATGTGGCTTGGGGATGGGGTTTGTACACACAAGACAACCCACACTGTTCCAGACATCCCATGACCCATACTACTAGAGCTCAAGATAAGCTGGGTATTTGTGTAAAATATGCATTATATCAACTGAAATACACAGACAAATCAGTTCATAATGTTTCAAATATGCAACAAAAACTATAAATACGCTATTGAAATGAAATTAATGCATATGTTATGGATGAAACATTTGGTATATTACAACTGTTAGATACAATGATTGTGTATCAGCCGATTGCCAAATACACTTACCCACAGTTACATTCGGAAAAGCTTCTGCGACAAACATACTGATGGATGCCAATTGAAAAACACATTGTGCCGAGTCAGTGTACATGTTGTATCTTAATTAGTCACTGATTGGTAATTAAAACAATAGAAGTCAAGAAACAGTTGGGTAAAAACATTTGAATACCCTCTAAAACTTGTGTGTATACCCAATCAAAATCAAACCCCTGGGTAAAATACCCAAATAGATAAAATATTATCTATAGCTCTGTGACATGTATGTATACATGTGACATTATTAAGTGTATCCATTATCTTTTTGTCTTCTCATAATTTGTGTGGACTAAATATTTGTTGTTTATCTCAAATGTCATACTTAATTTTGTCTTGATGTGTTTGCTGCCAAACATGCCAAACACATGTTTTATTTCATTTTGCAGCGAGCTATTATACCTCTTAAATATGGAATGTATACTACTCAAAAGAAGTTAAGGGTCACCTGATTCTTTCATATTACTATAGGTAATCTCTCATGTCATGACAGATTAACTTTACCATTATGAAAGAATCGGGTGATTCTTAACTTCTTTTGAGTAGTATATGTTGGGTGATACCATATTTTCTTGTGTATGGTGGGCACTTGAATATATATTTCTTGCTATTTGAGCATTGTGCAGTCAAAGACTCCATCGTCTGGCTTCAGGTGAATGAACGTGCAGGAGGTAACACTTGGTCACAGTAAATGAGAAATTTGCAATAAAATATATCGCTAGACATGATGATTTACAATTTTAATTGTATTTCTTGTTATGCTAGACATTGTTCTATATATGCAGAGATTAAGATCACTGTGTGTATTTGTCTTGATAACTAAGCCAGGAAATAGCAAATCAATCATCTGTACACACATTTTCTCCCAATCTACCGGTGATTCAGTTGATAAATACCCAATAATATAATTTGTAAGAATTTTGATGCAGTGATCGTAAGAGATAGTATCAAGGAATAATATGTTCAAGCGTCTTGTTAGTTTAGTTGGAGCATTAATTATGTGTATTTAAACTAATAATAACTATAAGCATAGCACCAACCCTTTGGGACAGCTGATAGCTGTTGCCGCTTATTTCGTTTACATATGGAACAATTTGACCAGTCATGGTTCAGGCTTCCTTCCCTTTGCTGTTTCGATTGTGAAAATGTTATGTTGACACATAATAGTATACCTACAGCAAATATAACTTTAGTGAGTCAAAGTGTGTCATTTTTAATACTGTATGTATTCGTTCTGTCAACCTAAGTTGGTTTCAAGATGTCGATAGCAGTAATCTGATTGTTGTTGCTGTAAATAATGGTGAGTTTGTACAATCTGGCCCAATCAGTTCACGAGTTCATTGAAATTTATGTAAACATGCAATATTTAATGATAATTTGAATAAAATTAATAAAATAGATTACAAACATAATTTCTGATATACAATGAACACTTATTATTTCTAGATGGTGTAACAACAGGATTAATTTGCATAATTCAGTATGGCTGTTGGTATGCTATTTCTGTTGACATGCAGATGTGTGTTTGTGGAGAAAAATATGTAGATTTATGGGAACCATTGAGTACACCTTTGTTTACGTTAATCCACGATATCATAAAGGACATCGCAAGGCATGACTACACAGTAATATTTGTTAATGAAAATTTGTTATTGTTTGAAATTCAAGATGAAAGGATAAAATGTTTTACTCAACTGCAATCCTTTCTAAGTTATGTTGAATTTATGGTCGCTTGCAGTTATCAATGGCCCATACAATTTGTAAACATGGGACTGTAGGCACATGAAGAAAATTTCCTTCTCAATAAACTGATTTTTCTCCCAATTTATTATGTTACTCTATTTTTATTGGTATTGCCTCCAATAACGGTAATATGAATTATAAAGATAATGTTTATGCTGTTGTAAAATGAAGGTCGTTTTGGCTTTTCCGATATAATGAATTCCTGTTCATTATGTCATAGAAATTGTTCATCACTTTCAAATATATGATGCTATTCTTATGATTATGCAAATATCATGTTCCCAGTCAGTCCTTTTTGTTGATAGATAATGATAAATAACACTCCCCATGAGATAAGACTTCTGTCGACTATCTACAGTGGAGCTGTGCCACCTAAAGCTCCTTCAGTTTATGAAAGCCCCCTGTGCGGTCTTCTCTGAATATCTTCTCTATCTAGCTTCATGAGTTCAAAATTGATATCCACATGGTGTCCTTATCTGCTTGTAGGTTCCTGTGCTTATAAACAACAAATATATTTTCCTACAGTACTATGCTAGACAGTGTTCATAATTATGGGGTCCTGGGATCCTTGAGGCTTGCTCCGGCCATAGTATTTATATGTAGGGACCCCACCAACCTCATTACTTTTAACATTTTCAATTATCCTTTATTGCATCGAGATAGTTCCATCCTGTCTGTACTTTTTACTGCCTCTATCTAGAAACAAGTAAACATAACATGGTAATAGTAACACACTTTGGGTTTTGTAATGGAATGTAGTATAGACAATGATATAAATATCAAAATTACTGACACTTATTCCTTAATCCTTCAAATTACTGTTCTGAAACAATGAAAATGCATAATCAACTGACTCGAAGTCTACCTCAATCATTGTGCTCCACATGTAGTATTTTATTTTTTTGTATCTGACACTTAAGGAAAGACAAATGTGTACTTGCTCAGCGTGAATTGTATGAACTTGCTCTCTGATTCCAGATAGTGTTGATACTGTGAGGAACTGTATAGATATGGGCGTCCAGTGTGGCCGCCAACATAAAACCAGAGATATTATTGCTTGGGCAAAGAAAAAACGCCGGCACATTAGAAGAGAAGAACTGTTGGCCTTCCTCTGTGGCAAGAACCCTCCCCCTCGTAATAGACTAGGTGCTTCCCAGAGTCGCCCCCCTTCTCGTGTTGGCCTTGACCTTGCTGCTCCTTGTCTGCCAGCAGATGAAAAGGCCATTGATAATGACTTAGAGGCTTTCAGGGAGGCTATTGCTTTGCAAGGTAAAGTATTTACAATTGTTTGATTGGAATGTGTGTTTGAATTTGTTTGATCGAGAATTTTGAATGTCAATTTTATTAATGAGAAGACCATATTGACCTCCTAACCAACAATTCTACTGTGCATTATATTATGATTGCATAATGGTGCTGGTCTGTGAGTACAGCCTTAATAATTCCGCCAGCTTGATACCACTAAGATGTGCTGAAGACAGCTGAACATCCAGTGATGGTAGCAGTCCTCACTGACTAGCAGCATTTGAGTGCTATAATTCTGAACCAATTCTCAATGATTCAGTTTTGCTACAAAATGAAACTGAATAAACTAACAGAAAATGTAAACACAGTAGACATTTTTATCTTGTTCAAGTTGGACATTCTGAGGACTAGTGAAATAAGGTTTGCACTAATCCCCTGGACAAGTCTGAATAAATTAAAAAATTATATGGAATCATATACCTTACTTTCCAATATCTCTACTCTGATACCATACCTGTCTGTGTGAAGATCCATAGCTCGCATCAGGTAAATTTCTAATCAACCAATCAAAGTTTGGTTTCTACTTACTTAGTGAGCAAAGCATTCAGACAAGCATATCAGATTTCTGTATTGAAAAAAGAATATAATTGGGCAGATCCTATTGCAAATAATATTGCCACACTATGATGTTGTTGTGGATATTCTATACATCCTGTCATTTCTGAGCGCCATTGCATCAACAGCCAGAAGGGTATACAATGGAGGGTATTTTTTGTGTTCTGCGTTAGTTTTCGTGTGCAGAGATCAAAACCTTCCCATCAAGGTGCTAAAGAAATGAAGCCAAATTGTTTTAGAAAGCTGCCATCTGATTTGATTTTAGAACCAACACATCAGTGTTGTTCCGTGACTCTGGCTTTACGGGATTCCCGCAATATTTCTGTGCATGACGCAATTAAAATACAACAACGCGTCCGGCTGGGCACACCAAGCTTTTCACCTTCACTTACCTCAATGTAATTTTAATCCGAAAGGTCGTGTATTATAAGTAAACATTGCAGTCAAACAGCACCATGTTTTTTAAACCAAATGTGTCCGCCATATTTGAGAATACTATAGTGATATCTTTTACCAATTGTACGCAAGCTTACAATTAACAACAGCAGGACTGCACTGAATGTTATTTTCCGACCAAGGACCCTTGGTTGATGGAGGCTAGAACAACACTGCACATCCTTCATTTTGATTGGCGGTCAAAGTTTGCTGAGGGTCACCCAGATGCGACCTTCTATGGAGGTGTCCAGAGGGATTGTATCGGAGTAAAATGAATAGATCTGATTTTAACAAGGTTGCCTTCTTTCTTGTATAAGAGTAAATAAATATGTGTTATTGTTTCATGATGTATGATATATATATTTTTTATTTCTATAGGTCTGAATGGAGCTATGTCAAACATTAGTGTTGGATACAACCTACCCCACAATGCAGGGGCACAAGCTATGAATTCACTGCCTAGAAATAACATTGAAGAACTTAACCGATTTATTCATGATGAATTCTCGAGGAACAGAAAGAGGACGTCTTCACCTGATGTAATAATGGACTCGCCGTCAAGAAAACGCTCTCGTCTGATTTGATGTGCATGATCAGTTAACTAACAAAATGAAAAACGCTTTTCTTTCCTGTGCTGCAGAAGTTGCCAAAAGATTCAAGTGCACATTTGTAAAAAGCAGCTTTCATGTTGAAAGTGTACCTTGTTCCTGTGGCACCACAATGTCACACCCTCAGCCAGTGGCACTACCGTGACTCCAATATGAACTCATGAAAAGCATTGTGTTTGGAGTGCTTCTCCTTGTTGTTTTCTTCTTCTTCTGTCCCCAGTTGCCTGCCTTGTATCTGTATGTGATGAGGAAGGACTCAGCTGTCTGTCTATATATACACCATGAATTGTGTATGATTGTGTCTAGCATTCCTGGGATGATCCAGATCCAAGGGGGATAACTACAGCTAACTAAATGGGTCTGGGTGTGGGCAGGGATAGTATTCTCTGTCTGTAAATTCCATGTCTTCTTCCTTTGTTTCATCCTAGGTTTTTATGAACAATGAAATAATGTTTGGATAATATGATTATTTTGGATTTAATCATTTTGTATGTACATTGTTGGTTGTCTTAATGTCGCTTATAACAGTGTCAAAAGGGGCTCTATGAGCTCGCCTTGAATGAACAGTGCTAAACGCTAAAGTGATAAGATCACATATTGTATGAAATTTAACACTTATTTATGTTACTTTAATTACTATATTTAATTTTGAAGTATTTCTATTTTATGACAATTTAGAAGTCACTTTATATGAAGTTTAAATCATTTGGGAAAATGTAGTTCTAGTATTTTGGTTAGTTTCCTGTTCAAGATATTGACTAAACTGTCAACAAAAACCATTTGTACAGTGTTTATTATTTACTCATTTTAAATGTTTTAATCTGTTATGTATGTTAATTATAGCCTTGTAGAATCATATAAACCATTTTATTGTTGCAATCTAGATCTTATCACTTAAAGCTTATTCATGCTCATCATGGAATATAGAAACTTTGTATGATGATGTGGTTGCATTCATGACCTAGAATATATTTATTTGTAGTGTATTGATGATTGATTCCTACATCAGTATATCAAGAGTTACACAGAATTATAGGAGGTGTCATCTGCAAGTCCAGGCTCGGTTGGTGTGTCAGTGCAGTGATCATGCACAGGTCTCATGTGAAAGTCTTATGCTTACACAAGTAATTTAAGGTAGTCGTTTAGGCACAAAAAAATACATGAGTATTTTGTTGAGTTAACTAGTATGGTTAAAGGCAGAATATAAAATCAGTTATTATGAATAAACAGCAACTATATTTTATGTTGTTTTGTGTTCTTTTGTGAAATTTGCACATTGGTGAAGACGGGACTGTGATTTGAGTTTGTGATACAGAGTTTTGATGAAAAACCTCAGGGTGTGAAATAAGAAGGATGCTTAACTGTCCTTTGACAAGTGAACTGGTGCTGAAGACTACAGATGCTTGTCTTGAATAGTATCAACACAATGTTTCAGTTAGTGTATTGCGATTTGGATTCAATCAACCAACTGCTTTACTTGTCGTCTCAAATTGTTTAAATGAAATTGCCCTCCATGAATATGAGTGATAAGTATAACCATGCATTATCCACTTCAAGAGCAGCTATCTTATAACACAGGCCAAACACTGTACTACAGTTAGATGAACAATGAGATATTCTGTCTGAATACAGGCTAAACACTGTACTACAGTTAGATGAAGGAAGGACGAGGTATTCTGTCTAAATACAGACTAAACACTGTACTACAGCTAGATGAAGGAAGGACGAGGTATTCTGTCTAAATACAGACTTAACACTACTACACTTAGATGAAGGAAGGGCGATGTATTCTGTCTAAATACAGGCTAAACACTGTACTACAGTTAGATGAAGGAATGACGAGGTATTCTGTCTGAATACAGGCTAAACACTGTACTACAGCTAGATGAAGGAAGGACGAGGTATTCTGTCTAAATACAGACTTAACACTACTACACTTAGATGAAGGAAGGACGAGGTATTCTGTCTAAATACAGACTAAACACTGTACTACACTTAGACGAAGGAAGGACGATGTATTCTGTCTAAATACAGGCTAAACACTGTACTACAGTTAGATGAAGGAAGGACGAGGTATTCTGTCTAAATACAGGCTAAACACTGTACTACAGTTAGATGAAGGAAGGACGAGGTATTCTGTCTAAATACAGGCTAAACACTGTACTACAGTTAGATGAAGGAAGGACGAGGTATTCTGTCTAAATACAGACTTAACACTACTACACTTCGATGAAGGAAGGACGAGGTATTCTGTCTAAATACAGACTAAACACTACTACACTTAGATGAAGGAAGGACGAGGTATTCTGTCTAAATACAGACTTAACACTACTACACTTAGATGAAGGAAGGACGATGTATTCTGTCTAAATACAGACTAAACACTGTACTACAGCTAGATGAAGGAAGGACAAGGTATTCTGTCTAAATACAGGCTAAATACTGTACTACAGTTAGATGACGGAAGGACGAGGTATTCTGTCTAAATACAGGCTAAACACTGTACTACACTTAGATGAAGGAAGGACGATGTATTCAGTCTAAATACAGACTTAACACTGTACTACAGTTAGATGAAGGATGAGGTATTCTGTCTAAATACAGACTAAACACTGTACTACACTTAGATGAAGGAAGGACGAGGTATTCTGTCTAAATACATACTTAACACTGTACTACAGTTAGATGAAGGAAGGACGAGGTATTCTGTCTAAATACAGACTTAACACTACTACAGTTAGACGAAGGAAGGATGAGGTATTCTGTCTAAATACAGACTTAACACTGTACTACAGTTAGATGAAGGAAGGACGAGGTATTCTGTCTAAATACAGACTTAACACTACTACAGTTAGACGAAGGAAGGATGAGGTATTCTGTCTAAATACAGACTTAACACTGTACTACAGTTAGATGAAGGAAGGACGAGGTATTCTGTCTAAATACAGACTAAACACTGTACTACAGTTAGATGAAGGAAGGACGAGGTATTCTGTCTAAATGCAGAATTAACACTGTACTACAGTTAGACGAAGGAAGGATGAGGTATTCTGTCTAAATACAGGCTAAATACTGTACTACAGTTAGGTAAAGGACGAGGTATTCTGTCTAAATACAGGCTAAACACTGTACTACACTTAGATGAAGGAAGGACGAGTTATTCTGTCTAAATACAGGCTAAACACTGTACTACACTTAGATGAAGGAAGGACGAGGTATTCTGTCTAAATACAGGCTAAACACTGTACTACACTTAGATGAAGGAAGGACGAGGTATTCTGTCTAAATACAGACTTAACACTGTACTACAGTTAGATGAAGGAAGGACGAGGTATTCTGTCAAAATACAGGCTAAATACTGTACTACAGTTAGATGAAGGAAGGACGAGGTATTCTGTCTAAATACAGGCTAAACACTGTACTACACTTAGATGAAGGAAGGACGAGGTATTCTGTCTAAATACAGGCTAAATACTGTACTACAGTTAGATGAAGGAATGACGAGGTATTCTGTCTAAATACAGGCTAAACACTGTACTACAGTTAGATGAAGGAAGGATGAGGTATTCTGTCTAAATACAGGCTAAACACTGTACTACAGTTAGATGAAGGAATGACGAGGTATTCTGTCTAAGTACAGGCAAAACACTGTACTACACTTAGATGAAGGAAGGACGAGGTATTCTGTCTAAATACAGGCTAAATAATGTACTACAGTTAGATGAAGGACGAGGTATTCTGTCTGAATACAGGCTAAACACTGTACTGCACTTAGATGAAGGAAGGACGAGGTATTCTGTCTAAATACAGGCTAAACACTGTACTACACTTAGATGAAGGAAGAACGAGGTATTCTGTCTAAATACAGACTAAACACTACTACACTTAGATGAAGGAAGGACGAGGTATTCTGTCTAAATACAGACTAAACACTGTACTACAGTTAGATGAAGGAATGACGAGGTATTCTGTCTAAATACAGACTTAACACTGTACTACAGCTAGATGAAGGAAGGACGAGGTATTCTGTCTAAGTACAGGCAAAACACTGTACGACACTTAGATGAAGGAAGGACGATGTATTCTGTCTAAATACAGACTAAACACTGTACTACAGCTAGATGAAGGAAGGACAAGGTATTCTGTCTAAATACAGGCAAAACACTGTACTACACTTAGATGAAGGAAGGACGAGGTATTCTGTCTAAATACAGGCTAAACACTGTACTACAGTTAGATGAAGGAATGACGAGGTATTCTGTCTGAATACAGGCTAAACACTGTACTACAGTTAGATGAAGGAAGGACGAGGTATTCTGTCTAAATACAGGCTAAATACTGTACTACAGTTAGATGAAGGACGAGGTATTCTGTCTGAATACAGGCTAAACACTGTACTGCACTTAGATGAAGGAAGGACGAGGTATTCTGTCTAAATACAGGCTAAACACTGTACTACACTTAGATGAAGGAAGGACGAGGTATTCTGTCTAAATACAGGCTAAATACTGTACTACACTTAGATGAAGGACGAGGTATTCTGTCTGAATACAGGCTAAACACTGTACTGCACTTAGATGAAGGAAGGACGAGGTATTCTGTCTAAATACAGGCTAAACACTGTACTTCACTTAGATGAAGGAAGGACGAGGTATTCTGTCTAAATACAGACTAAACACTACTACACTTAGATGAAGGAAGGACGAGGTATTCTGTCTAAATACAGGCAAAACACTGTACTACACTTAGATGAAGGAAGGACGATGTATTCTGTCTAAATACAGGCTAAACACTGTACTACAGTTAGATGAAGGAATGACGATGTATTCTGTCTGAATACAGGCTAAACACTGTACTACAGTTAGATGAAGGAAGGACGAGGTATTCTGTCTAAATACAGGCTAAACAATGTATTACACTTAGATGAAGGTTTCTGTCTAAATGCCAATGTATCTATTTACACTCAAGAGAATTTCAACTAAAATCCTGAAGTCAGTTTCTTGAACAGCCTCACATACTGGGTTAGGCCAGGTTCACACGCTACGACACGAAAAGTGAAAAAGTCGGATTACTATCCTCAGTGATCTGGAATGTCCTATCATTGTCTGAACGCAGTCGTATACGTTCGTCACAGAGTCCTACTGATCGGGAAAGGTCCAGACAGGTCGGCCAAGCACTCCCGACAGTATATATGGTGCGTCCCGTAACATTCGGGAAACTCATTTTGTCGGATTACAATTGTGACTATGTCGTGACAGATTCTGCTGTATCGGATCAAAATCGTAACAATGTCCTGTGTTGTCTGGACGGTGTCCTGTGGATCGGGACGTTGTCGTGATGAACGGGCATGAATTGTTCATTGCCGTTTCTTGTCGATTGAGTCGATATTCCCTCCAGATCTTGCTGAATGCGAACCGTCTTTGTCGGTTCACTGTCCCGTCACTGTCTGATCTCTGTCGGATCGCATTCGGGAGAATCGGGACGCTATCGGGACAGATTCGGTCGTTTTTTACCATGCGGGAGATACAAATCGGATAAGATTCGGATTGAGAACAGGAGAATCGGGACGAATTCGGCTACTTAACAATATCTGATTGTTTGTGAATCACAGGATCTTGATCAGACGTTTGACAAATTTTAATCGGGAATGGTCCTATCAAGGACGGAAGTAAAAAACCCGAATGTGTGAGTGATCCCTAAGAAAGCTATTTCTGAACCTCTGTGTGGTATAAATAAGTACATGTTTTGTATTAAACATAGAAAGTCTGGTAAAGTTCCTATAGTCCTGTTTAAAAGGGCGGCTATAACGCACATCAATAATAAAGATTGATGAATTGGTTCTGATTCTGTTCTGATCAAGATTCTGTTTCATTGTAATCAGTAAAGGCAGATAATTCAGTTGAAATGAATCTTTTGTGACTACACAGTTTAATCTTTCTAAAGGAAGCTTTACACTCATGATCCTCAGTCAATTAGAATTCGTCTGACATCCAGACAAGGCCAAGGTCGTTACATATCACAGTGTAGGACAAGGCTTACCTCAGGAAGACTTTGTTTTTTATTCACTTTTCAATGTTTGGTAATACATTACCTGCATTATGAAGTGAGGTGAGATTGGGTTACGTCGCGTCCAAGATTAGTGCACTTGTATGGCGATATGCATGTGCGTGTGCGCACGCGCCTGTGTGTGTGTTGACTGATGCCGATTTATAGCGTTAGCCCATGCCGCAAATTTGGCACGAA